GATATTCTCAGAAAACGGAGTTCGGGCTTTGGCTGAGCCGGTGCTTCGTGGCGTAGCCATCAGGCGTGCCGCGTGTTGTTGTCGCAGTAGACTCATGACCAGGGTCAACCCTACGTTGTTACTAGTAACAACGGGGGGGTCCACTTGGTTGAGTTTGTAGGAGGGGGTCGTACCCGTTTCAGTCTTGAAATCACATGTGAGTTTGAGGTGAAACTGAAACCGTTTCAGCGCGCGTATATACCCCCCCCCCCGCTCGACGGCATTTTTGGAGGAAAAAGTGGGCGGAGTTTGGTGGGTTGAGTGGTATCAGAATTAAATACTATAGAGAGATGATGGTGGTCGAGGTGTCGAAAAGGGGGTCGTATCAAATCCACCTTGGGGGAGGGGGGTCGTAAAAATAACAACGATAGGGTTGACCCTGCTCATGGTTCGTCTCCACTGGTGACCGATTAGGGAAGGCTCTGCTTATGCCGTCGCAGAATGAATTCAAAAAGTGAGTCTTTTCAATTCCCTCCCCCCCTCCTTCCTGTACATGTAGTAAGCCTTGGACCAGTTCTACATTATGAATCCTATAGTGCTGTTAATGCAGCTTAGATTTTGGATCACTATACGAGCGATGTGCACTAAATCGGTGCTTCTAAAAGGTTTGGAGCAGTAGTTGCCTACCGCCTTGCTTCATTTTCCTAATTAGACCCAAGCATGGGACCAAGAGCTGTGAGCACCGTCAAGCGTCCCCTGAGCAGAGTTCAACAACGAGTGGGGGGAGGGGGAACAATTGTGATTATCGGGTGTGAGTTCTGCCTTTGTGAAATCGCCATGTAATTTCAGCTGTTATATATTCCTCGATCCATTGATCATGAAATTTTTGGATAGGTTTGGTAGGGCACGGTAGGGCAGGTGTGAATCCATTAAGTGATAGGGAACAGGGCAATATGATAATGGGTAGAAGTTGAGCTGAATCCATAGGCCACGGTTGACTGGTTACTGGCCGGCGCTAGGTTCCTTCTTGGTATACCATTCCTTGAAGCCTTTGGCCGGGGTCAGACTTTGTGAATCCAGCCAATCGCTAGCGAATCGCGGGTTACGAACACTGCAGAGCGATTCGGGCTACAAATTGGAAGTATGGGAAGATGGCGATCTTCTCCGCATGCTAACGTTCGCCTTTTTCCAGGCTCTCATGCCTTTACGAGCTTGGAAAAGCGCGAAGTCAATGTGTGAATGAGAGAGACTCTCCT